CTAAGTTGCCCCAACTGGGCTCAAATTCACAACCCTCCTGCCTCAGCCTCCCAGAGTGCTGGGGTGACAGGTTGTTCACACTCAATGACACCGCTCCACAATGAACAAACCCCTGCTTTCAAGCTCTGTTCAGCAGCCAGCTCCTCCCAAAGCCCCACCCTGACCCCTTCTGCACCTCAGTCCTCAGTACCCCTACACCACCCAGCATGCACCCACCTCGAAGGAGTAGCAAGGGGGTCTCTGTTGGCTTTTATTTGATCCCCAAGCAGACAGCACACTGGCCCTGGCTCACGGTGGTGTCTGATACCCACTGAGCGAGTGAATGGATGAGAGCAAATGCATGAACCTCTGTAATGAACCTCACAGGCCTGACACGCGTGCGCGCACACACACATACACACACACACACACGCCTCACTCTGGCAGGGGATAAAGGTGCTACTAGGCCTGTCCCCAGCCACCACTGCAGTTCAGGCGCAAATGCAGCCCGCTCTAACCCAGCCGTTCTGGGAGCTCAGCAGCCTCAGAGAACCTTTCCAGTGACACCAAGTGCCAGGCCAGTTCCTCACCAGGCTCTGCTCTGGAAAGTTCTGCTCACAGCCTGCCAAGTGCTGACAGCTGAGCCCCTCCTGCTCCAGCAGGCCCCGTGCTTTCTCCCCTCTGAGGCTGACAGCTGATGTCCCGAGAGCAGGACAGAGCCAGCTGCCAGGACCTCACCTCACAGGCTGGGTCACACGGGTTTCCAGGAGCAGAGATCAGCCTACAGTGGAACAGTACCCCAGAGCCCTGGCACTTGTGACAGGATGTCCCATGACTGGAACAATGGCTGCTGGTCCCTGCCGCAGAAAAGGGACACCCTCCTGAGTAGCCCATGCTTCCTGCCACCCTGTTAGGAGAGAGTAGGCTGCAGACAGGTTCTGACCAGCACACCAAGCTTGCTGTCCCCCAACTGCCACTCTTACTGCCACGAACCCACCACACGGGTGTGAGGCCACATACAGGCCCTGTCCTCTCCCAAGGCCACCACCCTCCAGTCAGCACAGGAATTTACTTCTTCTGGTGGCCTCAGAGGTACAAGCAATGACCTCTGCTGAGCATAAGGGAGAGCAAGCCCCCAAGAGGAAGTGGGGATTGGTTTAACATTGACTTTTTTTAAAAAATGCACATTTTAATGGGTCACTGTGATAGGATGTGGGGTAGGGAAAAGAGACATCAAACATTATCCAAGGGGCTGGGAGATAGCTCGGTGGTCTAAGTGCCTGAGTGGCAAGCACAAGGACCTGAGTTTGATCTCGGGTACCGCATGCCATGCCGGCTTACTCTAGGCTGACCATTAAAACCGAGTATGGTGGTGCACACCTGTAATCCTAGTGCTGGGGAGGCTGAGACAGGAGGATCACTACAAGTCTGAGCTGCATAGTGAGACCTTCTACCAAATAAATAAAAGATTTCTTTTAATTAAAAAAACACAAAACACTGTATTTCCTTTTTTTTTTTTTTGGTTGGGGGGAGGAACAGAGTCTCACTGTATAGGTTCAGGGTGGCCTGGAACTCAAGACAATCCTCCTGCCTCAGCCTTCCAAGTGCTGGGAGTATAGGTGTGCATCACCATGTCTGGCCTGCATTTCCTAACATGCAGGAGGGACCAGTTCTGGTGAAGGGTTAGGTAAGGACTGGAAGCGATCAACCCTAAATGTTTTCAGTGGGAAATGCCTAAGGGAGGTGTGAGTGAGCCACTGATTGTGTAAGTGAGCCACTGATTGTGTGAGCTCATCATTTAGCAGAAAGAGCTGCAGGGCTGGGAGATGGCTCAGGAGAATAAGCGCTTCCTGGCAAGCGCAAGGGCCTGAGTTCAGTCCCCAGTTCTGTAAAAAAAAAGAAGAAGAAGAAGGAGGAGGAGGAGGAGGAGGAGGAG